GATACCGGCACCCGCTCAGCTGTAGTGGTCGGATAGCGGAAAGGAAATCGGACTGAGCTCTTAATAGTTCTGCAAAATGTAGTGCGTAGATCGATCCCATGAGGGGAAAACGTATCGATGTCAATAAAAGGATATAACCCACAAATGTTTCATTCACGGGTTATATCCGTGAAACCCGTGAACCGACTTCTTTCATTCTCATAATCAGCAGTCATTATTATTACACTTTCTTTGAGGTATTATGACCTCAAAATTCATTGAAGGCATTGTGAAAAAGTTAAGTGTTAGAGTCGTAGCCCTCGTGGCCCAGACCATCATTTATCCCTCAAGGTGAACGTTCCGCTAAGAATTATGGGGAATAGTGGCCACCTCCTGATGTATTCTCACTCCATTATGTAAACCTCTTCATTTCTCAGTAGACAAGGCGCGATGACCGTATTTGAAAAAATAGACATCAAGAGCAGAACTAGGGTTTGCTGTGGGCGGAGCAATCCGGGGCGTGTCTAAGAAGGCAACTCACCATCCACAAGCTCCAACTTTCAAATTTGAGCTTATCTCGTATACCATGTTTGAAGACTGTGGAAACGTTGGCTTATTGCCACTTAATGCCACACAGTCAACAATTGAAAACTAACATTTCAGGAAAGAAATGCTGAAAACACATTCCACGTTGGCTGCGTGGGTGGATATCGGCCTACCCTCGTTGTGCTTTGTATTTCCACATTGGTGTGCCCCTCTTCCCTGAGACAACAAGAAACAGGATGTATCAATGAGTGAGACACAACGGTTCAAGGCTTCAGTGGACATGCAGTGGACACAAAGTGAAGATGCAAGGCCCGACCCCACCCACAGGACCAGCTAGGTTTCCAAATATTTAAAAAGATAAATCTGTAAATAGGTTTCCTGCACTAACCGATCGAGATCGATGTCGAGCGAATGGACCTTCACTGTCTTATCGGCAGCTCCTTCGATTACCTTTGTGATTCCGCTCAGCGCTCCTGCCATGCTGGTGTCATCGATATTCTCCTCCTCCTTCGTTTGCTCTGTAATAGCACCTTCGGGTAAGGTACTTGCACCTTCGGGTAAGGTACTTGCACCTTCGGGTAAGGTACTTGTGTCCATTTCTGAAGTGTTTCTATGTTATTCAGAAACGATACAATTACAGCTCGCGTCGAAGATACAATTTAGCCTGATCGAAGGGGCGGAGACAGCCACCCATTGTTCCTTTCCTATGGCTCCTCTCCTTATTCGCCTTGAAGGGAGAGTTGCACCAATGAGGAAGGTCCCGTGGTAGGTCTGACTCTGCCCACTCTGACAAGCGTGGACCGTGCATTTCAAGGGAATAATCGCGATTTCCATCACCGTTTCAATGCATAACTGCACTGATAGCTAGTTACTTGTTTATTTAGCGCTGCTTCGCTGGAGGGGCGCATTTGTGCGCTTTCCACTAAATCCTTTGTAAATTATGTTAAACTAACAGATCCTCAATTCCGGTGGACCTGTGAGCTCGTTTCACACTGCGCAATAGCGCGAGTGGACGTCTTCGTGTCTGGCACTTTTGACAGGAATTCACAGGTTTTCACAAGATGGCGCGTGCAGGCTCAGCTCAGCATCATTTGATGCCCCCACCAAGCCAAACTGCGCCCTTCAATTCGCCTATATTTATCTAATTATATTTTTGTTCTGTAACAGTAAGAACCTTACCGTCATGGCATCGGCCTTACCGTCATGCATCGGTTCATGTTCGATCATCCATGGTGCCATGCTTTTCTGTCACAGTTTCTTCCATCTCTTCTACTTCTTGGCCCTCGGGCAGGTAGTCCTGTACTTTGTCCTCGGCTAAATTTAGGAAAATTGGAAAATTAAAAGGAAAAATCATGATTTAGCTCACCCTCTTCGCTCTTGTACTCCCAGTCGCCTGTGTCTGGCGGTACAAAATCGTCATCTTGTCCGATTGTCGTCGTATCTACCTCCATTCCCCCAAGCGTCGTGCCCATTCGCTGCTCCTGCTCCTTCATCGCTGCCATCCTTCTTTGTTCGGCTTCAGCTCGACGTCGTTGTTCCGCATCACGAATGTGGTTCTCATCTTGAGGACCGTACTGACGACGTAGTTGCTCCTGTCGAACACGCTGCTCTTGCTCTCGACGTCGTTCCTCCTCACGTCTTCTGGCGGCAATTCTGCGAAGTTCTTCATCTCGACGTCGTAGTTCCTCAATCCGCTGGTCTTCAACGGGATTTCTGGTTGGCATCATGCTAACACGCCGTCCTTCTTCGATTCGCCGTCGCTCGGCGTCCATTCGCCGCTCGGCCTCCAATCGTCGCTCGGCATCCTGTCGTCGTTCGGCCTCCTGTCGTCGCTCGGCCTCTTGCCGTCGCTCAGCCTCCTGTCGCCGCTCAGCCTCTATTCGCCGTTCATAGTCTCGACGTCGTTGCTCTTCTCGTTGCCGTTCAATTTCCATCCGCCTTATGTCGTATTCGACCACTGAAAGGTCTGATACTAGAAATGATGGCCTTGCGCATACTGGCTATTCAGCCTATAGAAAAAAGCGCCGGTGCTGAAGACTATGGGTTTTTCGCCCGGTACCTCTCAACTGTTATACCCGAGAAACAGTATCGATACAAATAAAATGGCGGTCTTGGGTAGTGTAATCCCTCCAACCCCGAATTCTCTCCCCTCCCACCCACCTCTCTCTCCCTCCCCCCGACACGGCATAAGCACGGGAGATAAGACGGTATTGAACAAGCCTCCCCCCCCCCCTTCCAGACATTTGCCTTCGGTACAACGCACCTTCAACCATGCTATCAATCATCTCCCAAAATTTTCCAACTTGGCACTTTTCAAGAATTTTTCCAATTTTTCCGCAAAATTTTGCCGTCAAACG